GGTACAGCAGCAAATTCCTTGTATATATTTTATACTTGGTCATTAAAGTATTTTGTATTGTATTGTATAGAAGAGCATGCAGTATTGCTATCAAACAAACAAAACATTTTTTTTTTCATACCAGAGCTGTTTTTTAGCTAAATTAATCCTGTCCCATTCATTGGCTGTCTGGCTCCACCAAGGGAAATCAGTGTTCAGATCTAGGCAAGAAAATCTAATCACAGTAGGTCAGATACAGGCAAGAAGTGGCAGAGGCCCTCTGGTGAAGGCAATGGGAAACAAGACTTTGGAAAGTTCCAAGTGATTACTATCTGTAGCAAACCTCCCCGATAGAAACATGTCCATCTACAGCTAACTGAAGACTTATGAAGGCAGTCATAGTCTGTAGTGTGGTCTGCTTCACACATGCATATTTCATATGAGCTAGCTGAAATATTAAAGGGACTTCACTTGATTTTGCTGTCTTAGACTTCTATGAGACTGGAGAGGAGGAGCTTCTGCAACTTAGAAGATGATGACATGACCATATCCTCTGGCCAGGAGGTCATAATTACTGGATTAAGTATCTTTCCCCTGATTATGAGCTTCATCCTCATCACAGTCTTCTGCTTGTACCTAAAAGCGGTTACAATGCTTCCCTTTCCTCCTTTAATCAAGTCTCAACTTTCTTTGTGTTATTTTCTCTGGCATAATCAGGGCTTAAAGAGAAGCCTCAGTTTAAGGATTTCCATGTTAAGTTCTAATTTTATATCAAATTGTTTTAGTTTCTGGGAACCTAATAATTGCAAAGCCTCTGTTGGGTCTCTCCACTTTCACCACAAGTACCAGCAGTGTAATTAACTGTATCATCCAATTGGCTTCTAGACGACATAGAAACTGAGCTTTTCTGAGCACTTTGACACTTCCTTTTCATGTTTGACTATAACTAAAGGCTAGGAGACCAAAAAATAGCCTGAGATAATTATTTTCCTAAGTATGTAAGGCCAGTCAGAGAATTATTTTCCTAAGTATGTAAGGCCAGTCAGAGATAATTATTTTCCTAAGTATGTAAGGAGAATCAGCACTCTCTTCTACATTACTCCTTCCTTCTAAAACATTTATTTCCATCTCATCATTTTCATTTGCTTTCCTAGTGTATTACAACCTTCGATTTCCCATTTCCGTTGTATTGCCTTCTGCTCTTTAAATGATAAATATTAATTTCACCCATCTTCATCTTTCTTTCATATTAGGGTTTTTAAAACAGTATATCAGTCCATGCATTCTGGAGTTGGGGAAATAACTGAGCTGTTTTTCCTTTTTGTAATATGTATTGCATTAAAAATAAAAGCCTCTGACTTTGGTCTCGAATGCTTGTTTAGGTTGTTTTGTTCTATTGTAGAAGCAGCTGTTTCCCTTCAAAACATATCTAAGTCTGCAATATACTGTATGTGCTCAACACCTCTAGAAAATGCACAGTTGAGTGTACATGTGAATGAAGGATGCGCAGTAACAGATGGTTCCTTAATCGTGCAAATTACTCATAATTGTCATTTCAAAACAGAAGGCTGAAATGCTTTTAAAGCTAGCCTAATGAAATCAAAATCTAGTAATTGCTTCTCATTACAAAATTCTGTGACAAGATAACAGCATTACATTATAGCACTGCTTTCTTTTCTTAATAGCTGTAACTCTAAAAGTGAATTTTCCTGAGCTATCTGTTAAGGTGTGTTTGGCAAGATGTTTAACATGCAAGATGGAAGTGTGTTTAAGGAAGAAATGCATGTGTTTCTGATGTGACATTTCAAGTTAAGCTGGATATTTTAAGCAAAGTGTATAGGCTATGCTGATTGGTTTCCCAGATGGTTGACACAATTGCTTTATTTTAACTTTCAGCTGAGGTACAGCAATCCAAAAATCTGATCCCAACTCAGTTACAGTTACGATTTTTTGAACCAGATAAAGGATACTTACTGTGACTTAACAATCCCCCCCCCATGCTAGACAGTCTAATCGAATTTCTGTGGATGGGACAATAGACAAGCCAAAGAGACCCAGTTGTTTATTCCCTGTCCTAGGCCTGCACTGCTCAGAGTGCAGAGAGAGAGGAAAATTAAGTTTAAAACAGAAAGGGTCTCTCTCTTGCATGCTACTGCATAGCTGGCCAGTTTTTGACATGCTACTGTCTTGGCCAGCTATGTTTTGATTGTTTTTTCTCCACAGTTATTTTTCTACTCTGCTCTTCCCTATCTTCAGCAAAACATCTTGGTACAAAAAATGTTGCAATTCTTCCAGCTTTTTGCATCAATAATATTCATGTGTTTGTGAGAACCCCTTGATTAAGATCCTTTGATTTCCTGCACCATCTCCTGTTGCCATGTAAGTTCTCCAGTGTTTCTTTTGCCACTTCAGATGTCTTCTGTCTTTTGCAATCAGCTTTTAACCCTTGCATCTACTGAGAGACCAGTTCCATCAGTTCCTCTCAACTGTTAGCTTGAAGCAGCCATTACACCAGGCTGTGGCAAAAGCTTGGAAAGCAGGGCCCTCCCTATGGAAAGTCCTGTACAGTGGTACCTCGGTTCACGAACTTAATTCGTTCCGTGACTCTGGTTGCGACCCGAATTGGTCGCGACCTGAATCAAATTTCCCCATAAGGTTCAA